CTCATGATGATAGGCTTCCGTCTCTCCAAGATTGTGAGTTTCCCATCTCTGTACCTCACTAGCTATCTTGCTAGGTCATCTGGTCTGGTCTGATCAACTGGATGGTGGTCCCAGTGCCACAGAACCCCTCTGTTGAAAGGATACTCCAAAGGAGGCAAGTGTCTCCTGTGTCTCCCTGGGATGGGAGGTTTGTCATCCTAGGAGATCTTTTATCAATTTTACCTTCCCTTTTAATTTTTGTCCTTTTACATTTCTGTATTTAGGTTATGTGTGTATTTCTGTGTTAACTTTTCATGTGTATGTTTTATTTGAGTTGGCTTACAGATAGATACCCAAACACTTATTGTTCACATGACTTAACAGAGAGCTAGTTTAAAGACAAAGATGTTTTTGAAGTTGGTAACATGTTTTCATCCAGGTTGTTAGCCAATCAAGATAATATTTTAGGGCTGGGGGATCACTCAATGTTCTAAGTGCCTGCCTGGCAAGCACAAGGACTCAAGTGCAATCCCCAGTACCTCATGTCATGCTGGCCCCAAACCCTGGAACCCCAGATATGTAGTGCCAGTCCCAAAACTGGGTGTGGTTGTGCATGCCTGTAATCCCAGTGCTGGGGAGGCTGAGGCAGGAGGATCACTATGAGTCTGAACTGTGTAGCAAGACCCTGTATCAAATAAATAAAATAAATAAATTTTTAATGGTATTTTAAAAATGTGTTTTATAAATACATCTACTGCTTTCTGCAATAGACATATTTCTTTGCTAAAGATATATATATTTTTTCATTCATTCATTAGAGAGAACTCCTAGCTAAAACTCACTTCTGTAAGCTATAAAAGCAGCTGCCTGAACCAATTTGCTTCAGTTTTCTCCAAAAATAGGTGTGCTCTCTGGTTTTTATCAGAATTATACTGAATTATTATAATACATAATTAAGTTGGTTATAGTTGAGATGATAAACGTTTTCTATGTGTAAATCAATAAGATTTCTTACGGTGTTAAATATACTAGCAAGTGCAAGAACTCATTAAATGTATTCTTGATTAAGCTTATAAAACTAGATGAAAACAAAAGGTTTTATATTTCATTAAGATAACTTCTCATGTTTTCCATTGTTATACTTTAGCTCACTTAAGATACTGAGTTTAAAATATATAAATAGGAGATGACCGGGGCCGCGGGATCCAGAATAGACCCAGAGTGCAGGCCCTGCAAGTGAGTGAGATGACCCAGGGCCCTCTGGATCCTGAATAGACCCAGAGCGCAGGCCCAGCAAGTGAGTGAGAAGACCGAGGGCTGCGAGATCCTGAACAGACCCGGAGCGCAGGCCCGGACAGTGAGTGAGACGACCCGGGGCTGGCAGATCCTCATTCGACCCAGAGTGCAGGCCCAGCATGGAACCCTTCAGCAGAACTCCCTGCAAAGAGGCTAGAGTCAAGACCCACCCAGCTGATTCAGGAGTAGAACATCTTGCCAGAGTGACACAAAGGGTTCAACTCTAACGCCTGCAGCAGAAAGAAGTGGAGCACACAGCCAGAACCAAACAACACCCACCTGGAGGAATCTGAACTTCATAGATCTGGACCTGGTGCT